GGAGACACTACAAGATATGGCTGCCAACCGATGTCAGTGACGTTCTTGTTGTCAGTTTCTATCCAGATTGCCTGAGTGAATGTCTGGAGGTGTAGGCACCTCGGAATGATTGTGTTAAGCTAGCACTAAGTCCCTCCCCCATCCACCTTTATTCTTTTCTTTACAATAAGGCTTTAAAATAAGTCATGGTTGTACGGCAGTGAAGCATCGGTGTTCAACACTGATGTCATGATGTCATGTCATCATGATGATGATGATGACTGTTACAGCACATCTAGTTTAAGAATAGCATTAACAAGATTCTGCTCGGTCATCGATGAGACTCCCGTGAAAACTAAAATGGTATGCAAATGAGCGTAGTTGTCGGATTTAGGAGTACATACAAATTTTATGAATTTGCATCTGGAATGTAAACTTCATCAACTCATGAAATGAGCAACACTGAACTGGTATTAAGGTCGACTTATTTATCCAGACTTCGACCCCTATTGCTATGGCGGGACATACGGAGTGGAGTACCGAATAATGCAACGCGGTGGATCACAGCTTTACATAGATTGTTGGATTTACTGTGCTCTACCGAAGAACGTATCAACGCACATTTATCAACCATCAAGAGCAGGAGAAAGCCAACACCACAGAGCTTCCAGTGGCACAAGGAACCAGGCGAGGAACTCATGAGAGAAGCAAGAAAGCCCGGTTCAAACATCAGTTTGATTAGAGGAGGCGCCCATTCAATAAACCAAAGTACCAAATCAATCGGCAGACGCAGGGACACCAACCGTTACAATGGATAGATCAGACCACAACGGAATGCAACCCAAGAAGGAGTCAAGCAACGCAGGGGAGAAGAAACTACTAAAAATATGAGAGATTTGGACAACCAATCGATTCAAAGGAAGGCGGACCACAACGCAACAATCACAAACGGACCACAACAAACGCCGTCACCCAACCAATCACGTTATATGATAACAGACAATCTTCGAATACCGTACGAACGATGCGAACAGAAAATACCCAACAAACACACTGATGAGATCTCCTCGTATGGCAGGCAACCGTTTGCAATTAAATTACTCAAGCTCGGCGAACAGATTGAAACCCACCTGATCGGCAACAAGTGGCTCTTTCAGTTGCGTCCCCTGAAGTATACTGGCATACAAACTGCGATAGAAATGCCCGCATAAATTTCCACTTTCTGCGGAATCAGTCACCTGCTGGCCAAGAACTATTCGACCTCATTCATTGGAATTTCATTTTACGACCTGTATTTGATAACCGGGACCATAAAGACCATGGCCCCTGTCCAAGGATTTGAAACGGATGATCCGAAAGTGGTGATTTGTTGTGCAGCATGAATTCATGCACCGAAACTAACCACGCTGGTTAACTCCTGTGTTACGTGCATCAGGCAGGAAGTGGGCTTGTATGATTTACCCGGACCAAAGTGACACAAACAACGAAGAAAACTCCAGAAAACTGTATAAAGGCCAACCTAAAGCTGCCAAGTTGATGTTTTCGTCGAGCTTTAGTGCTTTAATGGTCCCGCGAGTCACACTGACTAGTTCCATAAGGTGTAACCATTCCAGAAAGGTCAACGAGGAAAAGACAGGCGAAGAACAGCGAGACCTCGTACTACGAGCAATCGTGCTACAAGGTGGTCTGGGAGTGAAATCGCACTGTCATCTGCGATAGGAGTGTGAAAGCGGAAAGGTGCTTTCCACAGGCGACCAGCGTGTGCATATTCGCGGAAGCAGCGGTGCTGCATTCTCCAGAGGAAGGACGAGTTAGAAAAGTTCGGCCTTGTATAACCGGACTCTCCTATCGCCCAATGATTGACCGTGACCACCGGTACATCAAACAATACGGTCGAAGTACTTTTAAAGTCAAAGAGTCCGTGCTGCTCAGAAGATACCTGCTGCGTACAGCCGCATCAGCAGTGAGACGGTATTACCTTACTACCTGCGCCCTCGCGTTAGTCCAACCCCTGTGGCCAAGCACGTCAGGCTACTGAGTCATCGGCACCGGGAACAGTTCCCAAAGAAAGTCCTATTGCCCACGGCCTCGCGGGTCAGACTTTTGAGTCAGAAGCTAGGGGCCATGTGGTTTCTAGAAAGTTCAGTGAAGTATTTCAGCTGCAAAGCTACCTGAGAATTCCGTACCTTTTATCGCAATTAGCAACGTATCCACAGACGGTGATTGACAACCTTGAAGATTCACTCACTTAAACAAAGCACCCATGTCGATAATTTGCAGAATAATTCATTATACATAGACATTCTACACTACGAAGTAGTAGCCCTAAAAAATTGTATTCGACAAGCCGAATACTGAGCGGCCCGTGATGCTGACACTAATAACATATGTGCCGAGCACGCTGAGGGGACCCCAGTTGGGAAAGGTGCGAACTCTGGATTACAGACTTACCCAAATGCCAGTTCAACACAAAGTTCTTTTGCTTTAATTCGGAAGCAGAACGGGATTCCAATATCGTCATCCTCCACAATTTCTAACAACTAAACAAGAAACAGGATGAAACTCAGATGTTATTTATACCAAATAAGTCTACTTTAGGAGTCTATCAGTGCATATACCAACACAACAACCGGATAAGAGTACATGGTTCTTGAAATATGCAGCCACTTTCGCCATGGAGTGTGAAAAGTCATTTCTTACTAGTTAACATATTTATCGGGACGGTGAAAAACGTCCCCGTGAGCGACGTTCGAACTAGTAGGCCTTCAAAACATTCAAATTCTGGTTTCATTTATTCGCTGACTATTTACTGTAATACGCTTACCATCAAGTGTATTCATAATAATAATAGTGGTGAAAATCGTATGGGATATTAAACACAGAGGTTTGTAGGATGAAGACGTCCAGGGGTGAAAAACATGGCTCCGAAACACCAAAGGGATAGCTGACATCGATGTCAGCAAGCGGGAATTGTGACTATAGCACCCTACGAGGAGAAAGGTAACACGACTAGTGGCTATAGTAGTTTGGTAGATTAGTCGGCATTTTAATCGGAAGACTCAGGTTACCACCTCGATATCTAGGAGCCTACTCTGGATACCGGAGACCGGATGGTGGTGATGAGACACGGTTGTCGTATTGTCAACTGGGCTTAGCAATGTTGTAGTAAACGTTTGGTCACCAGCCTAGGTGATATCATCACTGGACGTTCATGAAGCGAAGCCGTAAGCCGATAGGTGGCTGCTGTGGTGCGGAGTTTATATGCATGCTACTGAACTCAGAGTTATCTTGGAATAATATTCGTTGTACCGATAAACAGTCCTCTTGATTGAGTTGTTCGTGGCGTTTTGCTTGGTCGGACTCCAGCTTGAAGAAAAGAACTTCCCAGCAACATCAACCAGATAAACAGACAGGTGAACGATGATCGAGAATGTATCTGAACTAACAGCAGGCAGACTGGAACTAAATGGAATCTCAGGGGCTCACAGTGACAAGTGACCTCAAAACCAAAAGATTATATGAGGTAAATAATGCAATCACGTCTACCAGATGAGGCTCGGTAAGCCGGAAGGAAACGAACACAATGCAGCAGTAAGAGGACATTATCCATCTCCTTTGATTTCTAATAACGAAGACTGAGAATTTCATTTTTTTTAATTTCAGAGAAGTGAGAAGTCTAGCAAGTGGAGGTACCAAAGCGGACCGCCAATTAACCACTATCAAGGTGAAGGTATTCTGTTAAACATACGGTCCATAGGATGACAGTGGGGGTAGGTCCTGATGTATCATATATATA